ACTTCCTTCCTTGACAGTTTAATCTCCAAAAGATAAAATGAATGCACTGGAGGGCAATGAGGGTTCACCAGTAAAGACTTTGAGCAGCCATTACAATGTGTTCCTTAGCAACTAACAGTGAAAATTATGGGATTTACTTGTGTAAAAGATATAACAGCAAACATTCTGGCAATTGGGATATTGGAAAAAAAACCCTTTTCAGTAGGATGCTGGGAGTAATTTTCTCTTTCTACCACCACAGTGAAATTATTTTGGGATGGCAGGTCAAAGCCCCAAAGTATTCACATTACAGCCACATTACTACAGGATTTTCTGCCACTCTTTGCCCTGTGCAGTGCTGAGCCCTGGATGCTAATTCATGTTTAACAATATTTTTGAAGGAAAAAAAACCAAAAACCTTTCTATAAAATGAATTCTTTTAATAAAGTATGTGTAGGGAAGAGTTTTTAGAAACAACAGCGTGATTCCCTTCACTTCAGAGGAGGTTCATGGTAACAGGGAAGAAAGTAAAGAGTTCCTAGAATGGAATCAGAATATCCTGAGCAGGAAGGGACCCCCAGGGATCACCCCTCATGAGTAATGTGGGACTCAGATTCAGTCAAAGAGAGAAACAAGAGTTTCCAGCCAGGCAGAAGCCTGGGAAAGAGCTGGAGAAGAATGTAAATAATTCTTTATCTCTCTTGTTTTTCACACTGTTTATAGTTAAGTTCTATCACTGTGCATCAAGCACTGTACACCAATAGTGTGGATTGTTTTCACTTCAGCACCAATGGAGTTGGGCCTCACAAAGCTCTGTATAAAAGAGCAGTGTACTTTGAATAAACCGTAATTTTACTCTCAGCAGCTTCTGGTGAGTCTTATTCCCGTCCTGCCTCAACAGCGACAAGTAATCCAATGGAAGGGGTACCAAAGGCAAGGTGGGGCTGCTCCCCTGCTCAGAGGTGGAAACACCCAACCTCCAACCCCGTTCTTTGGGCACTGAGGACACAGTGAAACAGTTCAGGCTCGATTCCACCCAGAAAATCAGACATTTCACCTGTCTGGGGACATCTGCAGGATGAGGAGGAGGAGGAGGAAGGGAACAAGGAGATCTTTCCCCTTCTTTTTAACCTCTTGGGGCAGCACAGTGATGCTCCACCCCTGCTCCAGCATCCTCAGAGGATATCTCCCTTCATAGTCATTATCCTCAGATCCCTTGGGGCATCATTTCTGGTCTGAAATTGGGCCCTCAGCCCCCTGGACATCTCAATATCGTTTTGGCCAACTGCAGAAAAGATCCACAGCATCAGCATGGATCTGCTAAATTAGAGATTTGAGGGAAACTCCTTCCTGGGAAATGGCCATGGGTTGGAAAGGGGATTTCAGAGAGGCCTCTGAGGACAGAGCAGAGGGAAGGACATCAGCCATCCTTCCCTCACGGGGTCCCATAAATAAAACCCCCCTGAAAATAGATCCCATTTCTCTAACAACTCCTGTTTCACAGACATCATTTTCAGGCAGTTCTGTAACAACAGGGGGCAAAACAATGATATGACTGAAAACCAGCTCTGATTCAAACTTGATTTTCCTCTTTGGATACCCATTTCCAAATCAACAGCATGTGACAAACAGCAGTGCTGAGGAGAGAGGCAGCAGCTCCTGCAGCTCCCAGAGGGTTCATTTCCAAAGCAGCATCCTGCAGCTGGCAGCAGCTTTGTGAATTTTCAGGTTAAACTAAATCCTGCTGAGGAGTTTAGGGCCAAATTGAGTCAAGTTATCACAGCAGGGAGAGAATATTTCATCTGGGAGCATTGGGGATGGCTCCATGGGAGGAGAGAGGGGTCATCTCTTGGGAGAGGCTTGGTCCCTGTGCTTGGGGTGATTCAGCTGCTGCTGGTGGAGATGGAGCAAACACAGCTTGGAGACCCCTGGGGTGGGGGGTACTGGAGATTTGGTTCCAAAGCTTTGGCAGTAAAACACAAATTTCAGCTTCAGCAAGGTAAAATAAATTCAGAGTTCTCTCTAATTACAGATGCTGCCCTATAGGAGCTCATAAATCAGCAGGAATTGTCCTGCCTCACTCTGATCACCCCACTGTGATCATAAACAACGTGGACATCCAAGAATTAAACCAGAGGGAAACCCTGCACTGTCCCATTTCCTCTGGAGCCCCTTCCAGCAGTGCTGCCCAGCTGGGACGGGCTGGAAGATCAGCACCACCAAATGAAAATAAATCTGAATACACAGATCTCCAAATGCACAGCCCCGAGAAGGGTCTGCAAGGACTGGGCACAACAGGGGTGATTTTGAGAACTTTCCATGGTGATCTGGTGACTATGGAGGTGTGAGTATAAATATAAATCAGACATTAAGGTTGGAAACAACCCCCAAGATCAAGCCCAACCTTTGGGCAGACACCAGGGCCACAAACCACGTCACAAAGTGCCACATCTGCTCACAGCCTGAGCAATTCCAGGGATGGGGACTCCACCACTGCCCTGGGCAGCCTTTTCCAATGCTCAGCCACACTTCAGCAAGGAAACTTTTCCTGATATCCTTCCCTGCCACAGCTTGAGGCCATTTCTTCTTGTCCTACCACTTGTTCCCTCAGAGAAGTGACCAACCCTCACCATGCCACCACCTCCTTCCAGGGAATTTTGGAGAGTGACAGAACAACCGCCAGCACCTGTGAGATGTTCCATTCTGTAAATATCCCATGGTCAGCTTGAGTGGGTCCAGAGGAGGCAGCGAGGCTGGAGAGGGGCTGGGAACACAAACCCTGTGAGAAACCACTGAGGGAGCTGGAGGTGCTCAGCCTGGAGAAAAGGAGACTCAGGGGTGACCTTATCACTCTCCACAGCTCCTGAAGGGTTGTTGTAGGCAGGTGGGGTTGGGCTCTTTCTCCAGAACTGACAGAACCAGAGCACACAGTCTCAGCTGCACCAAGGGAAATTTAGGTTGGAAATTAGAGAAAAGTTTTTCACAGAAAGGATGATAAAGTTCTGGAATGTTCTGCCTGGGTGTGTTTAACAAAGCCTGGATGTGGCACTGGCTGCCAGGGTTGAGTTGAGGTGTCGGGGCTGGGTTGGACTCGATGATCCTGAAGGTCTTTTCCAACCCAGTGATCCTGGGATTGTGTGGCTCTGGGATTCTGTGATTTAATCCTTTGGCAAGGACACGCTGGGAACTCATCCTCCCTGTCCTGCCAAGGGGACGGGAGCTGAGCAGGCAGAACAAGCTGCAAATTCATCGCTTTGGGAGGGCTGTGGGCCAACTCTGGTGCCACTAGAAATCAATGGGAGCTTTATCTCCATCCTCAGGATCCGGGCCACAAAAACCAACTTGGATCACGTGTCGGAAGGGGTGGGCTCAGCCCCAAAGTGTCGCCTCCAGCCACTCCTGCTTGATTCCAGGGTTATTCCCCAGCAGAAACCACAGCACAGTGAATAAAATCATCAAGCTAAGCCCCAGCCTATAAAATAAAAAGCCCATCATTTAATCTAGTTCAGCTGTGTTTCTGCAGATCTTTGTGGAAAAGCCATTATTAGATCCATACTCGAGAGTTTAAAGCTTTTTTATTTCCTGAAAGCCTGTGTTGCTATAAGCACAGGGCTTGGGGTATCATTAATCCATATTCTGTTACTGTGGCACAGCAGATTCCTCACTCGGTGAAAATATGTTCAATTTTAGAGACAACTAGCGTGGAAAATAAAAGATAAAAAGGGGGGGAAGACAAAGGAAAAAAGAGGGAGGAAGAAAAAATAAAAAAGGACAAACTGAAATGAAAATGCCATATCAAAAAGCAAGTATTCGGGGGAAATATTAGCACTTTTATCATAATGAGTTTGTAACCTAAATACATATTTCAAGGAAGAAATTGCTGACCCTGTCTGCCCTCCACAGGAGGCTGAATGGCTCAATCACAGCTTAATCTTCCCTGAAAAGGCTACAGAAGAATATCACAGCCCTTGAAGAACAACACACATTACTGATGCCCCAAGACTCACAATTTAACTCTTGAAAGGAGGGAGAAAAAACACTCAAATCTCACCCATCAGACTCAAAAAAAACCCCAGCAGTCATTTCCTCAGAAATTAAAATGAGGGCAGAGCCCCACACGCTGCCCTGCAGGACAGAGCTGCGGCAGGGCAGCAGAAATGTTAGAGATAAACAGAATAAACAGCCTTGAAACAGCACAGACCAATTATGGCTTCTGCTTTGGCAGCGGGGCTGACAGACAGAGACTTTCTACAATCTTGGAATGACCAATACCCACAGATTCCGACACGAGCAGATGTGTGAGAAGGGGGTGAGGTTCCACTCAAGTGGTCCCTGGCTACTGCACAGGGCAGAATCAGAGAATCCCCACAATGGTTTGGGTTGGGAGGGACCCTAAAACTCATCTCATTTCCACATCCTGTGTGGGGACACCTTCCACTGCTACACATCCCAGCATCCTGGCTTTTACTGGGATTGTTGATCAGCACAGGGCACCAATTTGTTGGACAATGCCCTTTTCTGACCCAGATCTGGGGCGACTGAAGGTGTTTTAAAAACTTTTATTCCATTTTCAGTCTCATGAGAAGGGTGTGACAATACAGGTCTTAACGTTCACGCCATCACAATCAGAAGCCAATTATTTCCTAATTACAAAACACTGTAAGTGTTTCTTGTCCTATCAGCTTTAGCCACACCATGCTGTAGATGCCTTAAAGCCAATAATCCAAAATTACCCCTTGTGACTCCCACTACAATGCATCTTTCCTAGTTCTTTTCTCCAAAGTATCTACTCTTATTTGCAAGGCCATCCTTTGAAATTTTTTCTAGCTCCATTTCTCTCCAGCAATGTCTCTCCTATTCCATGGCATTTCTAATTCAGCATTTCTTGTCTCCAAACCTGAGAACTCTTTACAGATCCATTTCCCACAGATAACACCCCATAACCCACCAGGAAAAGTTGGGAGAACACACCCAGCTCCCAATTTTTCCAGCACAGGAACAGAGGCTGCTTTTTTACTCACAGGCAAACTGCAGCTGTGCTTCTCTGCTGACAATGGTTCCGAAGGGGTTTGTTGCTACACACTGGTACATCCCAGCATCCTGGCTTTTATTGGGATTATTGATCAGCAGGTCTCCTTCCAGCAGGCTGTAGCGGTAATCCATGCCCACGTCGATACTGCTTCCATTTAACTTCCACCTGGAGCACAGAATGCCAAAGTTAAACTCCGCTGATGCTCCTGCGTGGTTGAAAACACAGCGTGAAGTAAGTAAAGATTTAGAACAGCTCTGGCTACTTATTAAAAATAAAATAAAATAAATTAAAAAATGGTGCAAAAATACAAATTTCCTGAGCGGTATTGAAATGTTCCAGTATTTAACTGAAAGAGCAACATCCTTGACATATATTTCAGTCTCTGAAATGATTAATGCTTCTGTAGTTGCTGGTGTTGCTGCTCTTTGGAATTAATCACTTGGCAAGGGGAAGTCCCTGAGACAGGATCTCTAACCCATTCAAGTCCACTGAGGATATTTTTTTTTCTCCTCTCCTGTCTTGCTGCTTGTTGGTTTATAAATTTAGGAAAATTCCCTCCCAGCAGATGTTGTCACAAGGTGGGGCACTGAGGAATTCCAGCTCCTCCCAGTTTCTCTGTGCCCTCTGGAGCTGTGCTGGCACTGTGAATCCGGGGGTTTCGTGGCACTAAAGAGCTGGCTGTGCCAGGAGCCAGCACAGAGGCAGAGGCCTGGTGGCTCTAACTGGTTTCAGAGTGGCATTTACTGGTGAGCAGAGTGAGAGGCACCAAAGGGAAGAGAAGAGCAGCAGTGATGATTTACAGCAGCAGCACCACTGCAGGAGGACAGCACCTTCCTCAGGGGATCCCACAGCAGCTACTAAAGCTGAAAAGAATGAGGAGTTTTGTCCACATTGATGGGAAAGGATGGTTAACCTGAGAGCCAGGACTATTTATAATCCTTTTGTAACATTTCAGAGCTCCTGGCCGAGGTTTGGAATTGAGTTGCAATACCTGGAGATTTCCTGGTGTCATTCCCTCCTGTTCCTAACGCCCCAGGATCACAGAACATCCTGAGCTGGAAGGGACCCACAAGGACTATCAAAGTCCAGCTCCTGGCTGGGACACCCCAAATCCCACCCTGGGCATCCCTGGAGGGTTTTCCAAACCCTCCTGGAGCTCTGGCAGCCTCTGTGCCCATTTCCTGGGGAACCTGGGCAGTGCCAGCACCCTCTGGGGGAAGAACCTTTCCCTAAAATCCAACCTGAACCTCCCTGGCCAGCTCCAGCCCCTCCCTGGATGCTGTCCCTGGTCACAGAGCAGGGATCAGAGCTGCCCCTGGGGATTTTTTTGGGATCAGCGCTGTGGAAGCCTCCAGGTACATCACACAGCAGAAAGGCTCATGCGTGGTGGCTCCAAGAACAGTCAAACACTGAACAAACCCAATGGTTGGTCTGGGATTTCCTTTCACTTCACAGCTCAGCTTCACTTTCTTCTCCTCCGAGCCCAAGGGGAAGATGAGGCTGTCGGGCTCCTGGAGGAACACCGGCCCGTGCAGGGTGTTGTCATCTGCAGGGACAGGGAAAAGGGACAGGTCACCCATGGAATCTCCGTCTTCCAGCCTCAAAATACAAACCAGAGTCCCAGCAGCAAGAGGCTGTGTGCCATTCACCTTGGAAAAGATCTGATGTCACTTTATCTACTTTATAACAGCAGATTTTTATTTTTTTTTCCCCCCAAAAGCCACTGAACCTCACACGGAGTCATGAAAATGTCCTACACTGAACAGAACAGGGAATGAAACCTCGCCCAATGATGTGATGTACAAGAATATAGGAAAAAAAAAAAAAGAATGAACAGAAGATGATGGATCTTCCAGATGGAAGGAAGGTGAGAATGAATGGGAATAACCCTGATATTGCCTGACACTGGGAAATCAGCTGGATTTACTAAGGACAGAACAACAGTTCAGGGAGAGCAAATTCTGTCATCTCCACGGAATTATTTCACAGAGACTTTCCAAGGAAGATTAGAAAGGAACCACCTCTCCTTCATGTCCACTCCTTCAGGCCCCACCACAAGCACAGTCACAGCCCTTGTATTTATTTTATTTTTAATTATACGTTCATGATACCTGACTGAAACTCATCTATTATTCACAACACATTTCACATCATCTCTAGCTTTAAATTACACCTGTGAGCAACTCATGTTGCTGGTGGGAAAAGATAATCATAACCATAAAGCATAAGGGACTGGATTATGGCATCCAAACTTGTTCCTGAGACCCTGCACTCCCTGAGCAGCCTCGTTCACCCTAAGAAAGGATATTATAGCCTGGCCCAGAAGGATTATAGCTCTGAGAAGTGTATGAGTGGCTGTGAAAGCAAGAGATTTAAAATATATTTGAATTTTTCCAGTTTTCTCACTGGAAAATACACAAGTGCTCAGGTCCTGTGTAAGAGTTGCTTCAAATCCCAGGAGCACAGAGCCTGGTGGTGGCACGAGCCAGAGCATCCCAGATAATCCAGTTAAGGACCTGCTGACTCAGGGATGTGTTGGATTGCTTCTGTCACCTGCCTCCCACCCCTCTCTGGGCTGTCATCTGCTGTTATTTCAATTAGAGAATGTCAATTTATATCACATCACACCAGAGGTCTGACTTTGGTCCTCCTCCCATCCCAGCAAAACGCAGCTTGCATTAAAAGTGAACGGTTCAGCTGCTTGAGGTGGGAAACAGGAACAAATCTGAGGCTCCAAAAGTGTCCCCACACGTCCAGGACATCACCTGGCTGCAGGGGCAGGGCTGAACCTGCAGCATCCTGGTCTTCAAGGGTTAATGAAACTGGCCTGCACCAGGCAGGGGCAGTCACAGGTGTAGGAACCATCCCATCCTGTCTGTGTAATTAATTAGTGAGCAATTAACACCTTAAAAAGCACAGAGAACTAAAGGTAGAAATAATGACAAATAGGTGAAAACTCTGCATTTCTCTGCTGAATACTCAATTTACCCAAGCTCAAGTAGAAACTCCTGAAAGATCAAATGAAAACACTTCCAAATATTCCACCTGCTGCTGACACCGTTCAATTTAACTTTTATATGGTAAAAAAACCCCCAAAACTCTGCTCTTCCTGTTGGGCAGCAAGGGGAAAAATCCTGGAGTGATTTTCAAGCAGAGGGAGAAGCTCTGAAGCAGCTGCAGCCTGTCAGGGGAACAGAGGAGCAGGAAAAACCTCACAACACTGGCTAGATAAAATTATTTTGAGTGCCTTTCTTCTTCCTCTTATTGCTGCCTGTGTATAACCAAGATAAGCGAGTCCAAACTATTTAATCTTCATCCCGTGGAGCTGCTTTGCTGCAGCCTTAATGTGTGATTGAAATCACTGCAGCCCAGATCCCAGCCCTGGGTGATAAGGGCTGAGCCACAGAACCTGACACAGGAGGAGGATTTGCTTCACAGAGCACTAAAGAGTCACTAGGAAATAAAACAAGCTGCCATCTAGATTCTTGCAGACAGGAAACTACAAGTGCCTGCACCAGAAAAAAAAAAAAAAAAAAAAAAAAAAAAAGCCCATTTTTGACTAAGATGTGTTACTCAGATGTTTATTGTTGGCACAGCCAAAGGTGTTTGCTCCACTGAAATGTCTGCTTTTGTGGGAGCAAAGTTTTGCTGTTTGGATAACTCTGAAATGCAAATTGTACACTTTTAAAAACACATTCGAAGTGGTAACTTTCTTTCTGTCGCAGTAATGTCCAGGGATGTGCACTGCAACAGTGATAACACATTTTTGGCTTATCACTGGTGAACACTTTGAGCAGCTCAATCCCCAGAAACCACTGAGGCCAGGACGAGGCTCTTTGCTGTGCTTAGAGGCATTTTCCCTCACCCTTCTCATCAGATTGTGTCTAATAGACCCTTTTTTGGTCATTTCATCAGAAACAGAACAAGAAGCAGTGCGTATCTGTGTGCACACACCTGAAAGTGCTCAGTTATTTTAGCCCACTTCCCTTTTACACCATCCAGCAGCTGCTGCCACTCCTCACACATTTCCCACTGCCCCAGGGCAATAAAATAAATAACCTTCCCAGCCAAACTCACTGGTGAGACACTTCCAGGGGCAGATTTTATTTTTCTGAGTAACATTTCTTTTGAAGAGCCCAAAAATGAGTAAACCCAGAACGAACACGAGCCGCCCTCAGATGAAGACAACCTGCAAACAAGATTGGCTTCCAAAAAACATTTTCCCCCCTCCTTGTCAGATAAAACAAATGTACTCCTGCTCTGGGTCTGCCTCCTCTGACAGAAGTGTGTTTCTTTCAGTTAGAGGCAGGATCTAGGAAATTTCAGTTGATCTGACAATAAAAGAACATTTTAACCACAGAAGGAGGTGCGTGTCCATATGGTGTTGGATGGAAAGTGATAGATCATTTCAAAGAACATTCTGCTCGATGTATATTTTTCCCCCTAGTGAATTACAAAACCTATTAAAAGAAAAAAAAAAAAAAAAGCCAGATTAATTGGAATACATTCCAAATGAAGAGTATATTTGCTGTGTCCCTCCAGTACCCCAAAGCTGAGAGCCAGCACATGCAGTTGGATGCTAAATGCTGTCATCTTCCCCTGCTTTTGAGGACTTGAAACATGAGGAATGTCAGCTGAGGTTAATTCACACCAAACAGGTGGAACCATTCCTATTCTCTCTGAACATTAAGCCTGGTGACAAATATGGTACCTAAATAGAGCTGCTTTAATTTCCATTGAAAGTTATGGCCAATTTGAGAGAAAGTTTAATTGAATATTCCACACTGTAGGGAAAGATAATAACTAAACTGAACAGAGAATTCTTGGAGTATATCCAGGGTAAATGAGAGAAATCCTTTCCTTGTTTGCTGCTGAGGGAATTGCTCCCTGCTCGGAGTGCTGGGCTGGTTTCATACACTGCCACACGCTGGTATTTCTTCCAGACAAAACTGCACCTTGGGAAGAGCAGCTCTTCAGAAAAGGGGGAAGGGGAATGGATGGGACAGCTCAAGGGCAGGCTGATTGCACAGCAGCTGCACTCCATCCTCCTGAGCAGGAAAGGGCTCCACTGCACGCCTCACTCCTTCATTTCGCCTATCACTCCTGCTCACATCAACTGCACTTGGCTTTGAAATCCAAACAGAGAGTATTTTACACCATACAATCCTACTGTGACTAATTCTGTAGACTTGTCAATGAACAAGACCCACTAAGGGTGCTTACTGTCCAAAAGGAAATGAAAAAAAAAAGGATAAAACCCAGATATTGCAAAAGGAAATGAAGTGGTGTTTTCCAGGGAAGGGCCTCGTAGCTCTGCATCTTTGGGGACAGCGCCTTAATACAAGACTGGGCTTTTTTTGTGGTACCTACGGGTGTCCAACAGGTGCTGTGAGCCTTCTGCTGTCCCCTCTCCCCTCCTGTTGTCCCATTTTCTCCTCCTGTCCCAAGACCAGGGTACAGCCCTGCCTGAGAGGTGCCACACCAAGCAGGGTCAGATATTCCCCAGAGACCACAGGAGCCCAGGAGGAAGCCAAGGAAGGAAAAAATCTCCCCTCTGGAAAAGGCAGGGGTGGAAGAGCTCCAGCGTTGGAGATGGATTCTGACAGCTCCACTGAGGAGTGGCCTGGGGCCCTGGAGCTGCCTGCATGAAAGGCAGGGTTAAACTCAGCAGTGTGCCCCGAGCTCTGATCAGACACACAAATGTGGAAATTTGTGTGGGGACATCATAGACACAATTGTGGATATTTGTATGTGGATATCCTACACACAAATGTTGATATCCTACACACAAATGTGGATATTCGTATGTGGATATCCTACACACAAATGTGGATATTCAGGTATGGATATCCTACACACAAATGTGGATATTCACGTGTGGATATCCTACACACAAATGTGGATATTCAGGTATGGATATCCTACACACAAATGTGGATATTCACGTGTGGATATCCTACACACAAATGTGGATATTTGTATGTGAATACCATACACACAAATGTGGATATTTGTATGTGGATATTCTACACACAGATGTGGATATTTGTATGTGGATATTCTACACCCAAATGTGGATATTTGTATGTGGATATCATACACACAAATGTTGATATCCTACACACAAATGTGGATATTCATATGTGGATATCCTACACACAAATGTGGATATTTGTATGTGGATATCCTACACACAATTGTGGATATTTGTATATGGATATCCTACACACAAATGTGGATTTTCCCTGGGCCTCCTCTCCTGGCTCCAGACTGCTGGGAGAGGCCATTCCCACCACAGCACAAGGGTGACCTGTCCTCCAACAAAACCCTCATTTACCAGGATGCAATTTGTGTTCTCCTAGCAACAACCTGATCATCATCACACTTGTCCCCTTCAGTGTCCCACAAAAGCACATTGCTCCAGTACTGCAGGAAATCACAAATTTCCTCACCACGCCGCCTCTTCCCTGAATCACCACAGCCAGCAGCAGGAAAATAAACAGAGGAACTCACAGTGCCCTGCTGGGAACAATATCAGCCCAGGAC